AGGGACCTGGCAGTGGTGCCAGCTGGCATCTAGGAAACCCCGGAAGATGACAAACGAAAGAGCCACCCTGGCCAGAGAATGGGAACCTAGAGTACCTCAGGGTAGTCCCTTGGTGAGCACACTGGCTTCGGAGGGAGCCAGAGTCCCAGAGGTGCCCACACTGACTCCCATGGGATGTCCCTGTGTCAGAAATAGTGGGGAAACACACTTGCACCACATGCCTAGCTGCGGAATGCTGATGGCCTCTTGAGTTCAGTCTCAGGGAAGATACCTGCTGTCATACGCACAGACAGACATCCCAGGACCTGGCGGTGGGCTGCAGTGAGGGGTGCTGAGTTGAGCCGAGCCCTCGGCTGGTCTGATCCCAGCCACAGAGCTGAGTCCTCTCCCACGGGGGTGGCGTGGTGTGGCCACTCCAGCTGCCTTCCCAGCTGGCATAGGGTGGCATGGTGTGGAGGGGTGAGAGGCCTTCAGAGCCAAGGCCCCAAGGGGCAGGCTCTTAATATGCCCCTCAGGATTGCTGTAGGCCTCAGTGCGCATGCTTGCAGGCCCTGCTGTGGAGTCAGGGCCTCTGGACACACAGCCTGAAGACAGGGCAGGTGTGCCGGCAACCTGCACAGGCCGTGTCTGACCTGAACCCACAGACATGGCGAGGAGGCCAGAGCAGGAGCAGGGGGCAGCGGGGCACTAGTGAACCCCAGTTCACCGTGCATGCTGGGCCCCAGATGCGGAACCATGAGGAGGTCCCCACTGCAGTCAGGGTGCCCGGGCGCTGCTGGGGGTGAGGAGCCTGGCAGCCCCAAGTGACAGAGGCCACTCCAACAGCAGCAGTAATGGGGACGAGGCTGCAGCCTTGGGAGCTGTTTGGCACGGCTGCAGACACTGGCTCTCTCCCAGCACTGGGGGACCGCCCTGCACCTCCACTCAGCCTGGAGAAGCCTGTGTGGTGTCTGACCTACGACCTGCAAGTGGGTGGAGGCCATCACGCGTGTGCTGGAGACTGCTGTCACATGGTGCCTAGCACCGCCCTGGGAACCTCTGCTTGTGGACCGGCTTATAGAACCGCAGAGTAGGATCTCTGACCCCTGCATGTCAGATGCTTCTGTCTGGATGAAAGATGCCTTGGCAGCCCTGGCACCACGGCGGGGTCCCTGGCCCCGGCTCTGTCACCCACAGGCTGGAGCTCTGCATGCCGGCTTTCTCCATCCAGCCTCTGTGATCCCAGGAAAGGACCTTACCCTGGGGACAGTGACTTGTGGCTCACCGTGGCCTGCTCTGCTGCCTAAGGTCACCAACACGCATGCGTGCGTGATTGTGGATCTTTCCTGCTTGTGGCCACAGCGAGACAAAGACTCTCTAGGCATGACACAGGCCCCATGCGGGAGCTGGGGTATTGCGGCGGGAAGGCTGCTGTGCTGTGCTTGTGTACAGGGCCTTCTCCACTTCCTATCAGGGAGGGACCTCTGCCCAGACAGCAGAGTGGTCACCTTGGTGGCTCCACACAGCAGAGGGCAGAAGATCCCAGGACTGGCATGTGTGTCCTGCATCAGCAGCCTTGTGTTGAGGGGCTGCCTGGGTGACGCAGCCCCAAGGCGTCCAACCCCGGGCCACGCCAATGACAGAGTTGATCCTGGTGCCCCGGCCAACCTCTCCAACCTCCCTGCTCCAGCTTCTCCCTTCCTGGCACCTCTTCTGCTGAGAAGTGGAGCAGGCCACAGAGCTCCTCAGCTGTTCAGCAGACCTCTGCCTGCCCGTGGTCCTGGGACATTTGGCAGGACCACGGAGAGGGGCTTCTAGGGTCAGTGCCCTTGTACGCTTTTCACTGGTTTCCTCTGCCTGAAGGAGCCTTTGGCTTGGTGGTGCTTAGAAACCGTGTGCTCAGGTGAGCGGGGAAGGAGGCCCGGCAAGCGGCATGGCTGTGAACCGCCTTGCACTGGGTTCCAGCCTGCGTCACAGCTCAGACCTGGGTCCTCTCCCTCCAGGGCTTCTGCACTGAACTACATATCCCGTGCTTCTTGTATTTTATTTTGGGACAAGATCTTGCTAGCTCACTACATTGCCCAGGCTTGATTTGAACTTGCCATCCTCCTGTCTCAGCCTCCCAGGCCGCTGGAGCTATAGATGTGCACCGTCACCCTGGGCTTGGGGTCTGCCTATTGCTGGCTCTGCGACCTTAGGGAAGTCTCTGAGCTGAGAAGTGTTTCCCCGAGCTGTGCAGTGTTGGGGCTGGCAGCTGCACTCAGCTGGGAGTGTCCGGTGCGGCGTGTGTGGGGCACTGGGCTGTGTGAGTTGCGGCTTCCGCCGCCCTGGCACGGCACCAGCGCTCCCATGAGAATGGCAGTGTCGTGGTCTTAAGGTGTGCCCTGGAGTTCGGAACTGCAGTGTTGGGACCTTGAACGGCCTCTCCTCTGAGAGGGTCACGGAGCACTCTGAGGAGCCTGACGGTAGCCTAGGAACTCGCCACGTGGGAGCTGTTGCTCTGCAGGGGAAACGGAGGCTCGGGGCGCTGCAGGGACTTGCCTGCCTTTGCTGCAGCAGCTGGAAGGCTGGGTGCCTCCCTTCCGTCCCTGTTGGGGTCTCCCGGATCGCAGGCAGGTGTGGTTCCCTGGCAGCCTCTGGCCTCTCTTTCTGAAGGTCTGCCTGGCTTTGCTTCTTTCTGATCTTGGGGCTCAAGGAGGTCATGAGCCTCCCCCAGCAGCATGGTCTGAGTAACTGAAGGAGCGCATTCCTGGGGGTGTGGATGCTGAGGCTAGAGCCCTTCCCTGCCTCCCTTCAGAGACTTCCTCCTTGGGGAGGGTCCTCAGCGCCTCCTGCAATTCCCAGGGCTCCCCAACGGTGTACATGGCAGAAACGTGGTGCACCTTGCACCGGCTTTTGAGTGGTCTGCAATGAGGCGTCCCAGCCCCGAGTGGTTGCTGCCCTTAGAACAGCATGTGCCGCCCGTGGGCCCAGCAGGAGTGCTCCGGCACCCGTGACGGCTAGGTCTCCAGGTTGGCAGGCTACAGCTCCCCTGCTGAGCCTTGTTGTTCCTTGTGCACCGAGGACCGCACCTGAGTCCTGGCCCATGCCTGTGGCTCATTCCTGTCGGGCTCAGAAACCTCGCTGCTGTGGTGCATTCTCCCATGAGCTCCTGGCCAGGGTGCCGTGGGCAAGTGGTACAGGTGGACTCTGCAACTTTAGTGCCACATGAGTAGGGTTACTCTGTAGCCAGGATGTGCTGGCTCGTAACTGTTCTGACAGATAGAATTTAAAGTTATTCACTCCTTTGGTTTTAATTGGTAAGAGCTTGGCTTTTTCATTTCTAGGGGGCCTCAAGCTTTTGAATGGTTGTGCCAGTTGCTGAGATACAAAATGTTGTTGGGATCTCAAAACTGCAGCTTCTGTTCACTTTTGCAGTGTGGGTGAGCCTTTGTTGATGTCTCTGGAATTTTGTTTTCAGAAAGTACTTATGTTAGCTAGACATGGTGGCGCATGTCTGTAATCCCAGTATTCCACAGACTGGGGCAGGAGGATCTGTGAGTTCAGGGCCAGCCTGAGCTGCAGAGTGAGACCCTGGCTCAAAAAGACGAAAAAAGAAAGAGTGCTTTTGCTGTTTGTGTTGACTTGCGGTGTTCGTGTGGCGGTCGTATATTTCTGGGGTGAGTGTGTGAGATGCTGGACAGGGATGAGCAGTAACTCAGGGCTCAGGACAAGGGCTTAACCTCTCCCTCATCCTGTAGATGAGCGGTGGTGACACTGATGTTTCGAGCTCTAAAAGGTTTTCTCTCCCCTGTCCTGTAGAAGTCAAGAGCGAAAGCTTTGGTTGAAGTCCTCATTGAGGAATCTTTGTTTTAGAACCTTTTTTTTTTTTTAAAAACAAAACAAAACAAAACAAAACAACATGGATTTAAACAAAACTTTTTAGTGAAACAGCTGCGTCTTGACAAGGGTGAAGGTATTTCAGGTGTCATATGCTGGCCATTCATAGGGAGCAAGGCTGCAGTGCATTTTACACCACCTGCGGTTCGTGTCCATCGTCGGCCTTCCCGGGCTGGGTGTCTCCCTCATGAGTGAGGCCTTTTCTGCGCCAGAACTCGCTTTCTGTGGCAGCACACTTGACCTTTCTCTGGCTGCACCATACTTGGCAACTTGCTCTCCCTTCCTGAACGTTAGCTTGTTAGTAGTTGGGGCCCTTGGTGTTCTCAGACTGCCTGCTGCTGTCACCTGTGTCCTGGAGCTGTGTGGGATGCTTCATGACGTGTGTGGCCATGTGCCTGCTGCAGCTTCTCAGTGGCCTGTGCAGGCAGCTGTCCCCATTTGTCCTCTGTGGCTGGTGCCATGCGCTTGAGTGGAGGACGAGCTGCTCCACCAGGTGGCGGGCGCTGACCCTGCCTAGGGAGTGTGGGCAGGGCCTGCTGACTGGAGGAGGCCCTGCCTGCGCCTCGGCTCACAGCATGCAGCAGGTTGAGCTCCCCGCAGAGCCTGTGTTTCCAGCAGATTCTCTAAGGAGTCTCCTCTGGTTCCTCTCTGTGAAGGTGTGCGTGCATCTGAGTTCTCAGCAAGTTGAGAACATCTGGTGGCGGGAAGAATTTAAGAGAGAAACTGTCTTCTGTAAGTGAGCTTCCCCACACAGCATCGCTTGTGTGAGTGGCCCCTAGTAGCACATCAGTGGCGACCACCTGGACCCAGTACACAGCCCTGCCTGCCCGCACAACGTGGTGGCTGTGCCCAGAAGCCTGGCATTCTCAGCATTGGTGTTCTAGGGCTGTGCAGGTTACATGTTTTCTCACAGCCACCTCCAGGCAGATTCTGACAGGTGAGCGAAGCCCTCACTCCATGCTTTGCTTAGTCGAAGGCAGCATCCCTGAAGTTTGCTCCCTGAAAAGTAGGCCTGCTCTTGGAGCCCCTTGATGAAGGCACGTGTCTCAGGCTCACCATGGGCTTGCGGGTGGCTTTCTAGACCTTCCCCAGACTGTTCTCCCAGATCTGTCATCGTGCCTCTCCCTCTGCCTTGTTCCTAGGTTTCCTGTAAGCTGCCCCTCCAGGTGCACTGCCCCTCCCGGGGACTGCCCACCCGCCTGTCCCAGACTCCGGCAGCGGGGCCCCCGATGGCAGTGGGCACCTTACCCTGAAACCTGCCAAGCTGGACGCCACAGCTCCGCACGACGACACTTCAGCCAGCCCCGTGCCCCCTTCGGAGGTGTGCAGCCATGCAGCCCTAGCCTGCAGCCCAGGCATCCCCGAGGAGCACTATGTGAGCGAGGCTGTGGATGATGCCGCCAGCTGCAGAGGGCATCGGGATGCCTGCACCATTACCGGTATGGGGGCCCGCGGGGGGTGGGGGGCGGAGTGCAGAGGAGCCTGGGCTTTGGGCTTGGGAGGCTGCACACCAGCACCTGCCCTGCTCTAACTGCTTTGCGCTGTGTAGCTGCTCACCTCTGAGATGTGGGCAGCACCTCCTGGAGTGCTGCGAAGGCCAGAGGCAGCAGCACTGGGTCCAAACAGCGTGTTCCCTGGCACCTCCCTGGGGCCCTTGTGGAGACAGGAAGGTGACAGGCAGGACCACGCCGTGGCATGAGAAGGCAAAGTCAGACGCTGGCTTTGGGGGCCCGTCCAGTCACCCCTGTGCTGCCCCGTTCCCTGCAGGCCCTCGGTGCAGGGTCCCTGTTGGCTGTGTCCTGGGACACTGGGGCAAGGCCATCCCTGGAGCCTGCAGAGTAGGCTGCAGTGGAACCTGGGGGCTGTGTGTCACCGCAGCAGGTGCAGCCAGTCCTTCACATGGAAGTGGCACCAGTTTTCATTTCTGTCTTCAGTTTCTGCTCAACCCTGTCTGCTTGGCATCATGCCCAGTGATTCTTTAGGGTCCACAGATTCGCTCCCAGTAGCTTCTCGTTGTTCTGCGTCAGGGTTGAGCATTGAGGTTTCCTGGTCACGTGGGACCTGTGCAGGGCCTTGCGACCTTGCCAGCCTGGTGGGCTGCACGCTGCTCCTGGCTGTGCTCTGTGTCCCTTGTTCCCCCGCAACCTGAGGGTGCGCAGCCAGCTCGTTCTCCCTGGGACCTCCCAGGAGCCTGACCTTGGCTGGAAACACGCTGTGGTCGCCCCTCAGCCCCCTCCTTCCTGTGGGCCTGTGCTGTGTCTCTGTGCCCCTCCTTACCCACTTTCTTGTTCTGCTTCTCTCCTGGGCCCACTGGGGGCAACCCGGCCCCACAGCCTCCAGCTTGGAGACCTAGCTCAGTAGAGCGTTCACCTCCAACTGGGTCATTTTATGTCTCAGCAGGAGTCGACAGCACTGCCCACTGTCCCAGAGCCACTGGTCCCCCTTTGCTCTGTTCCGGAGCCTGGTAATGGTGAGGACTCAGGGCTCAGCCCTCCCTCCCAACTGTCCCACGCATACCCAGTGTCCTGTCTCCCGAAGGCCAGGCAGACTGACACCTGTCCACCGGATGCCTGGCAGGCGTCTTGGACTAGTGTGGCCGATGCTGGGACTCCTGATGGCTGTGGCACCGCCTTCCCCAAGTCTCCCTTCTGTGAGCAGCGCTTGCTGTCTTTCCCTCTTCCCTCTGTGAACAGCGCTTGCATCTATAGTCTGTTCTTCCTCTGCACCCCAGTTAGCGGCAGCCCATCAGTGCTGTTGTCCTCAGAGTGTGTCCGGATTTCGGCTGCTGCTCTCCGCTCTGCAGCAGCCCTCTGGTCCTGGCCACATTGGCCCCAGGCCTGGGTGTGGCAGAGGCTCCTCCCCAGTCCTCATTCACTCAGCCCTGTGAGCTGGGCTGGAAGGCAAAGCCAGGGTTAGCGTTCCTCCAGCCCTTGGGCCTTCTGTGTCCCAGTGGACCATGCCCTCGTGCCCTGGCCACGGGCTCCAGCAGAGCTGCTGTCCTTGCCCAGCCTCCAGCCTCTGCCTCTGCTCTGTGCACACCTGCAAGGCCCTGCCCCAAGTGCCTCAAAACCCTGCTTCCAATCTCCAGGTGCCACTGCTCAGGTGCCACTTGCAACACCACGTGAGGAAGGGGCCCCTCGCCCTCTCTCAGTTCTTTCCTGGCCACTCCATCCCGCGAGCAGCCCTGTGTTATATTTTGTCTGCCAGGTGTGCAGGAAGTGTGAAGCGCTCTGGGGCCAGGACAGTGTGCCCTCTTTTATCCCTGATATCCAGTGCCTAAGACAGTCCTCTCTGTGGCCTGTGCTGGGGAGTGTTCGTTGAGTGAATATGTCACGTCATGGTTATTGTGTCCCTTTCCGGGTAAAAGGGCTGAATCAGAGGTTCAGTGCTAGGACTAAAATTTCCAGGCACTACATGGTGGAGTTGTGCCTGGCTTGGGGTCCCCAGGTTCTCTGCTGCCCTAGAAGGCCTCAGTTGGGCTGGTGGAATGGAGGCGCCAGGGTTGGCGCCGCTGTGATGAGCGGTACACATAGCTGGGCACCCACCCGGTCTGGGAGGAGGTGCGCAGGGCCTCCTGCTGGTGGTGAGGTCACAGCTGCACCCCCTGTCCAGGTGTGTGACCTCGCCCTTGGGATTCCAGCCGCGTCTGAGCCAGTGCTGTCCAGGAACATCCAGCCTGTTAAACCAGTTCCTATCCTGAACGTGCAGGTGGAAGGTGCAGGCATGGTGGGGCACTGCTGAGCTGTCAGCAAGGATGGAACATCTGGCATGGACAGGGGCAGCTGGGTGGCACCTGGGCAGAGGGAGCATTCGTGTGGGTGTGCCCGTCAGGCTGAGGGCGGCTGTGCTGCTGGGGACGTGGCTGCACAGAGAGAACGTGAGTGGAAGGCAAGCGTTCTCCTGTTGCTGCGCCTGCGCCGTCCCAGGAATGTGTGTGGGCCCCAGGGCTGTGCCAGTGCAGTCCGGACAGTGCTGGCACCCTGCCCCCGGTCACCTCCACTGCCCCGCAAGCTGGGGACGGCAGGGAGGTAGCTCTGCCACTACTCAGGCAGAGCCGAGCACCGTCAGTGAGCCCTGCCCCACACCCAGCCAGGAGGTATCGCGTTTTGGGTGCGTCACTTCTGCTTGCAATGGCCGGGTGAGATGAGCCGATAGGGTGCCTGGTGCCTGGTTACGTAACGCACTGTGCTTCCCGGGCCACTGCTGCTACAGCCTCCGGATTTGCCCCGACAGGCAGCTCAGAAAGTGCCTGGCGGGCTCAGAGAGTGGCTATCCAGGCTGGGTGCCGCAGGAGTCTCCTCCCAGGGTGCCGTGGAGCTGCGCCTGCACATGGCCCTGGTTTGCCAGCCAGGGCCACCTGTGGGGGCCCGGTGTGGGTCCCAGCTGCACCCAAGCCAGTGCCTTCAGACCAACCCATGTGGTAAGTGTGGCCACCTCAGTTGGGTGTCCTTGTTTTCTTTGTGGCCTGGCTGGAAAGGAGAAATGGCGAGGAGAGGTTTGTCTGTGGGCTCTGGTAGGAAATTGCCCTGTTGATGGATAGCTGCCTGCATGCGGAGGGTGCTCTGCCCCATCAGCGACAGCTGCAGCGGGCTGACGAGGCCCGGGCCGCCCCTCTGCCGTCCCAGGTCTGGGAGCGGCTCAGCAGGTCTGCGGGGTCCCCGGGCCTCTGAGCGCAGTCTAAGTTACGCCTTCACCCAGGCTTCTTGGAGACGTGGTGGTGCGAGTTGGAGAGGAACTTTCTGGGTGCGAGGAACAGGTCAGAGCCTCCCTTCTTGTTTTCCCTTGCCTGGCCTGGACCTGGGGTTCCAGTCCACACCTGCAGTGCGGAGCTTGCGGTGGTGCCTGCCCGGGCCTGTTGCTCCTCACGGCAGCGGAGTCTGTCCTGTCTGCTGTCAGGCTCGCGAGGCTCTGCCCTCCTGAGAGGCCGTCTGCGCCTGTTCAGCCACCTGAGGTTCTGGTGCATGGGTCTCACAAGAAAGCCCATGACACTCCACACTGCACCCAGAGCCCAGGCCCCAGAAGCCAGGGCTAGTGGGGAACCTGGCAGAAGCAGAGGGGCTCCCCTGTGGCTTCAAAGGGTTTCACAGCCTTCCCTCTTCTCTGTTCCTCCTCAGATGAGTGGTTCAAATGGTTCTCCCGGGACTTGTGACAGATTGTAAAATGAAGTTATCGCTAGTGAGACTCTTAACAGGGGGTTTGCGTTCTCAGGTGTGGGTGTATTTTGACCGCATCCTGACAAGTCAGTTCTGCGTTGGAGTCAGCTTTTGATGTCTTGCAGGCGTCACTAGCAGGCACAGCCCTCACCGCCTCTGGCCATCTGGGAGGTGGTCTGGATGGGGAGAAAGCTGGGCCAGCGTAGAGGTTGGAGGCCCCGGATGTGCAGCGTGCAAGGTGGGGCTGACGGTGGGTCACACAGCACAGTGCCTCATCGTCATCTACACCGGCAGGGAGAAACCAAGGCACAGAGAGCTTGGCCGCCTGGGCAGTGCTGTGCCAGTTAGCGGGGCAGCCAGGCTTCGAGTCCAGGCCATCTGATTCCAGCTGGCTTTCTCAGCTGCTGCTAGCATCCTGTGGGCTGCGGGACTGTGACACATGGAGAGGAACGGATCTCCTTGGACATGATGGCCCCTCACCTGGGGGCCTGCTGTTCCTCACTGCCTGCCCTCACCCCTGGCAGTGCTGGGCACCGTCCTAGCCGAGTCCTCAGACGCCTGGCCAGAAAGGTGGCCCAGCGCAGGAGCAGCCATGCTCCTCTCATCCTCTGAAACTGCTGTCTGCTCGAGTGTGACGTGGGGCCTGTGGTAGGCACGTTGGCTGTTCTCTGTAACCTGGAGTGGAGGCCTCTTCCTTAGCGTGCGCCCAGCGCTTCTTCATCTCTTTGGGGATCAAACACAGGGCCTTCACACTGAGCTGGATCCCAGCTCCTCTGTATTTTGGGATGGACTAAGTTGCCCAGAATGGGCCTGAACTTGCCACCCACCTGCCTCAGCTCTGTTGGGGACCATGACTCATTACTTTCAAGGCTGACGGTTGATTGGACAAATTCCTTTCTGATGTAAGTAGGTGGTTTTTGTGTTTGCAGATTCACACAGGGCCGGGGTATATGGGTTTCCCCACAGCCAAGAATGGGGTGAAGGAGCCAGTGAGCCTGGCAGGGTGGAGACTTCAGTTTTAGGGGGTGTGGCCCAGAGTTGTGCCCTGTGTGGTTAGGCAGCATGGGAGAGTGTGTGGTCCCCCAGTGGGTACCCCAGGGATTAGTACACGCTTTGCTCTTCAAGGTAGCAGCACATATATCTGGAGGTTAAACATTCTTCCACGTTAGTTGCCTTTTTATTTTTTGTGTGCTGAGCGTTGAACCCAGGGCCTTTCACACACAAGGCAGGCGCTCAGCCTGTGAGCTTGGCTCCAGCCCAGTGAGTCTTACTGTCTTTGCTGTGCC